CAGCGTTAATTATAACTGGTCTATATGGGCTGGCTGGCTGGCTGGCAGAGAGCCTGGTTAGGAAAAGTTATTTTACTGGCTTCTTTCTTCTGATCTTTAACACTTTTATTTTCAATAATGTGAGAACATGTGTGAATCCAGGCCTCAGCTGGCTTAGTTAACTGTTCCCAGGGAGTCACAGGGGGGTAATTCCCGACGGACCCTGGGTGTGAACTTGCTGTAGCGTAATTTCAACAAAATATCATGACGACATATGAGGAGTTCATCTGATGGTCCGTTGATCCATTGGCAAAATCGAGCAACGAATAACACCTAAAACACATCTACAGCCCTGTGGTTCATCTGTGGTGTCACTTGCTGAGAAATAATTAGGTGTCTGAAGTCAGAGTCTACATATCCCAATAGGCTACCTATCCTATCTCAATGGCATGTCTTTGCGATCCCATAGAAACCATCCTATTTACAGGGCAGTTTTCAAGACATGCCCTTAATTACCTAGGACTTCTTCGCGTCTTATACTATGACATTTCTACAGTTTTACCTAGACTACAGCATTCGGAGAAAATTAAATTCATTTATTTGACGCTCATTGTCCACCACTAATCCTTAAATCTTCACCCTTACTTTATTTCTGTCACACCAAGCCACATAAAGCCTAACAATAATCAAACTTGAACAATCTTCCAGCATGGCCTCTGTGATCCCAGTGTGCTGAGATACCAGTGGCCAGCATGTTAATCCATCTGTCGCTCACTGTGGGTGATTTAATCACCCCAACCTAAATTATTTAGAAAGAACTGATGGCCACGGATCTCGTGCAAAGAGATTATTTATCACCAGTCAGCCTTTGTTCTGTGGTGCTGCTAATGACACCATTGTAGTAGCTATAGCTCAGGTACTCTGTTGCAGAAATGCCACACATTTGATCATGGATCATTCGCATAAAAGTAGATTTAATCTATTCTACATGTTTCATTCAAAAGTATTTTAAGGATATTTTCTATGTTTAAATCTAATAACATGTTATACTTAAAGACCAAATCACTGCATCAATAGTGATAATGACCATGATATGGGCTTAGGTTTTGTTGGACTACAGGTAACAGGAAAATCACAGTACAGAAAGGCCAAATATATGCTTGCAAAAATAATCTTTGTTTTAGATTTTTTTCCGTCAAAATATCGTCACCGGTTTCAGTCTAAAGTATCCCGAATTGAAATAAGTGTAAGTCTTTTTTACTTAAAACCATAATGTGCAATAGGGTCTTTTCACAGACACAAGACACGCTTACTTACCATATTATACAGGTCTTACTATTAACATTAACAAGACACAATAATATTCAAGTAGGCAGTTAAGATTAAGTAACCCTGAAACTGAATGCCATCGTTCATTTGATTATTTACGCCTGTGTTCTCCTTCTTTAACATGAGAAATGTCAGAGAGAAAGCCCACAGCGAAACAGAATACCTAAAGACATTAAGGTTTCCTCTGTTTTGAGGTAGTAGAATAATAATGATCTCCCATGTGTTGTGTTACTTCATTGATCTGACAAAGTGAGCCCCTTGCCCAGTTCAGCGGGGCCGAAAGGCCTCTGGCCGCTTGTTGTTTGTGTGTCACAGTGATTAATTGATGAGCCTTCTTGAGTAATTGGCCCAAGACCAGGAAGTCCTCCGACTGTAGTGACTTCATTCAGAGGCGGAGAGGTGGGTGTTTTTCATCTGCTGGTGGACTACCGGAGAGATTTACAGCAGGAGCACACGCCGTCCACCGCGGAGAATAAACAGAAGGGCAACCATGGCAACCATGCTCCGGGGTCTTCTTCGCTGCTTTTGGTGTATTTTGTGGCGGCAGCAGCGCCACTTACAGGCCCGGCATATGTACTACAGCGTTTTTCCAGCAGTCTCGTGTGAACGGACACGTTAATTGAGCCGAATGCATGTGAACGGAAGACTTTTTTGAAAACGCATACGGTGCGTAAACGTTCCTGTGTAAATGGGGTCTAAAACCACTCCCCATGGTGATGTATTACCACTTCATTCATCAGCTCAATCATTTCAATACAGCCCAATACATGTCTGATGGACCACTCTCAACAACAAAAAAAGATAAAACAGCTTTTTTTTCACAGTTAGTTTTTAATTGAATAATTTAAATGACTTTGAATTCAAATCAAAAGCCCAGTAGACATTTTGCTGGACATAGGAAGACTTCTACAGAGGTCAAAGGTTTTTCCAATCATCCCTTTAAGAGAAATACCTGTTTAATCATTACAGAAATTAAATTATTGAAAAGTGAGAGAAGAATCATATTTTTGTCTCTCAGTAGAGATTTCATTGTAGTACTCTGATATACACAGATACATATTGATTGCTGTACTCTATCAAAAAAGAATTTTGTATAAAAATAATCAGGTTTGTTCAGCCTGGCTGCTCCCTAATACATTTTATATTTTTTTACTACGCTTTTTACACTATAAACCTTTATATTTAGCTAAAACATGTGTGTGTTTCTTTTATTTAAGGGCTCAGGTGGGCAACATCAAAGCAAAAACAATCTTGTAAAGAATTATTCAGTTAAAATGCTTTTAGTTTTTACCACTGAGGAGGTGCAGTCTTCACACATCAGTGTTTCTTACCTTCTCAGAAGGCAATGAGCACAATACATGTTTAAGGATGGGTAAAGAACACTCACTTATTAGCCAAAAAATGCTCTTTATATTTTACTACATCCCACAATCTTCTAAAAAAAAAGCAACATATAACATAGAGTCAAGAATACCGGGTTAAATGACTATAAAGAAAATATTAGTCATTGTGACCAACATATTGTGGTTCTCTGTGTTTTTCACCATTTCCTATATATCCCCTTCTTTACTCATTAGTAATCTCTTATCAGTTAAATGAAAGTGTTCCACAGGGGCATGAGGTATTAGATAAACTGGACTTGATAAACAGAAACTAATAAACCTGTCCGTTTCAATGATACAATTCTGACTTGGCATATAGTATAAGGGTTATTTTTAAATACCAAGAAAAAAAGTTGTCATGCATTATAGTTGTTTCTCTTAAACTACATAGTTATAGCTGATGATTGAATATATATCTACAACTTAAATGTTTAATTGATCCGGTTTTGACTTTAAATTAAACCGGGATTTGCTTGAAATAATGCCATATTTTTCAGAATTTCCTAACAGCTTTAAAGTGGACACTCGAAGAGCTTTTTGGAATATATAACTATCCATTTTTCAAGATCAGTCTGAACAGTTTTTGGAAGAAAACCTTGGGAACAATCATTTCAAAACGTAAGTCTAAGCTACACTCTTTACTTTGGTATCATATCTGAGAAATCATATGCATACAAGTACAATAAAAACATAAGAATGCAGGATCTCCTAACGCCATGCCTTAAAATTGTTATCTGAGAATCAAAAATATGCACATTCATGTTCAGTGAATTACAATAAATGAAATTAATTCAGACAGTTGTATTTAGTGTTATTGCTTCCATTCAGACCTTGGTCCAGTGTCACCGCATTAACGTCTTGCCAAATTACATTTAGCTGTCTACAGTATGTGATGTTTTTAATTGCCAGAGGAATAATATAAGGAGTAACATATTTGTGTTTAACTGTTGCTAAAGTTAATCTAATTTGAAAGCAATGACAGTAATAACAGGTTTTTAGCCAAACGTAGTCTCGCTCACATTCATTTAATTCCTTATACGATATATTTGTTATATTATATTTCAATAATATTTTGTCATCATCTATAACCCAGGTATAGAAACAATATAAAGAGCATTTAAATTCAACCACTGATGATTTAAAGTGAATAGAAATGTGGGGCAAGCTAATGCTGGCTAACACGTTTGGACTATAAATAGATTTTTGATAAACACAACAGTTATTCTTAGAAATAGAGTTTATACTTCTTTTAATTTCAGGCTAAACATAATACATGGATTTAATGTAATAACTTTATTTAATTCCACTCTAAACCCTGAAGGATTTCTGGCCCCTGATACTGTTAACTATATGCATAGATTCCTTTTTAAGGAGGACAAAACCATTCATTGTAATCAATCTATGCCAGTTTGTTACGGTCTGATTTCCATATGTAATGAAAGAAAACTGGAAATAACTATCAGCATTTTCATATTTTAATAGTAAAATGACCTTTGATGGCGCATTGCTTCGTTGGGTTACAAATTGCCGCCATTATGTTTTTCATTTCAGAAACTTGGATTTGCAAACTTTCCTTGCAAAAATATATTTTGTGATCTACAAAATGTGTATTTAAGTCGACTGTCCTACCATTTGTGCTTTAGTTTAGTTTGACCTGATTACTAATGATTGTACATGACAGCGTTTGTGCAAACCAGTGCAGCCGGTCATGGGGTTGGTGGCTTGTTGTTTTTAAGATATGAGGCTTTGACAGGTTATTTATAGAGTTGATCTCTATACAATTTCAGTTCTGTCAACATACTCGTATGTTCTTCATAGTGCAATCAATAGAGCCCCACTCTCCCTACATAGGTCGATTTTTGGAACCGCACTGATACTAATGAAGTGTTTGAATTATGTTTTCCTCAGTGGCTCCGTTTTCTTTTATCACGGCTCATTGCATCTAAAAGCTCCAATGCACTTATTTTCAATGTGTCATTGAACACACGTCCAGCAAACTACAGCAATGTGAGGAGAGCTTTAAAGAAACCTTGTTACACCTTTATTCGTGCCCAAGAAGAAGTTAAAATAATGACTTGTACTTTTGAGAGGTGTTTATAGAACCGATGATACTGCACACAAAACATAACTTACCTAAGCGATTTATTTACACCTAAGGTTTGATTATTAGGTTCTGTCGTAATAGTTTTTGATCATTGAACACGCTCAACTCAAAGTGACCATGTGAAAAAATATTCAAGTTTCCATTCAGGAAGAAGGTCTTCTCCTAGCCTTTTCCTTGATTGTAGACATTCCTTACCACAATTGTCTTATCTGCGTGCTTCTGATTTCCCCCATTTCTTCCAGTTAAGTACCTTTTAGTGTCGCCATATGTCTTTTCCAGCTTTCAGCTTTTCCTATGGCACTTTGCATTGTTCTGCATTTTTACCCTTGGTTAAAGTTGAGCCAAGGTCAATGGGTATGGGTCATATTTCCGACTCTCTTCGATATGACCTTTGATCCAGCGCCCTGGTGGCCTGTAAGCGTTCAAACTCATGTCGGCTGTTTCTGTCTGGACTGAGGTTCGCCAGCGGCCTGCTACTACCACCTACTTCCTCTTCCTCATCATCGCGGCTTAGGAAGGCAAGCTCGTTTTCATAGCAGAACGAGTTTGTGCTGGGGACTAAGAACTTGTTCTCCACCATTTCCTTGGCACTGCAGCGGGGGGTGGACGGCACCTCGTAGGTTTTGTGAAAGTGAGAGTAATCCACCTTGTACACGTTCTTCTCCTCAAACAAGACAGGCTCGAAACGGTGACCCCAAAGAACTTCCGAGGCCAAGTAGGAGCTGCGAGCCTGCGTGGTCATCGCCGTCGCTTCAACCATCCCCTCCAAGATGACGACAATCTCAAAGTCCGCTGTCTCCAAGTCCTGTTTGCTGATTCCAAATAGGGGGCTCTCCTCATCTATCTCATGGAGAATAGTGATGGGTGAAACCAAGAAAATCCTATCCAGGCCTTTATCAAATCCCACATTAATGTCTATCTGGTCCAGAGGAATGTATTCCCCCTCATCAGTGATCCGAGGTTTGATCAGCTGTGCCCTGACATGGGCCTCTACAATGTGACTTTTGCGGAGGTTTCCTACCCTCCACATGAGGCACAGCTTTCCATCCCGCATGGCAATGAGAGCATTGTGGCTAAACAACAGTGTCTGTGCTCGCTTCTTAGGCCTGGCCATCTTGGCCATGATTGCGCCAATCATGAAGCAGTCAATGATGCAGCCCATTATGGACTGGAAGACCACCATGAAGACAGCCATCGGGCACTCTTCAGTGACACAGCGATAGCCATACCCTATGGTAGACTGTGTTTCAATGGAGAACAGAAAGGCTGCCACAAATCCATTGACCTGTAGGACACATGGAGTGAAGTTGTCATCTCCACCGGGGTTGTCCAGATCTCCATGTAGCAGAGCAATGACCCAAAAGGCTAAACCAAAGGCAAGCCAGGAGAGAACAAACACAAGAGTGAAGACGACCAGCATCCATCGCCAGCGAATATCGACACATGTGGTGAAGATGTCGGCCATGTAGCGCTGCGACTTATCTTCCATATTGGCAAACTGCACATTGCACTGGCCATTCTTTTTGACAAAACGGTTGCGGCACTTGCGCCGTGTGTGGATCTTGCCATTGCCAAAGCCGTTCATGCCATGCATGGTAGAGAGGCGGAGGCCCTCTTCCTCGGACGACACAATGCTGTAGCCGTTTATCCGTCCAACACTCATGCTATCGGCAACGCCTCCAGATGCAGGGTCCGTGCAGAAAGGCGGCCCCTTGCAGATTGTTTACTGGCTGAGCTGCATTTGAGTAAGTCAAAGAGAGGGAGCTGGGTGGGATCCAATCCCTGTAGAGAAAGGCAGAAGAGCAAAACAATGTGAGTGTCTACCTGTGACATAACGGACAAATAAAACCATTCCTCTATATGAAACATCACAAAAGAACCGACCATTGAAGCTTTTAGTGACTGAGTGGCAAAACATCGTAAAACATACATAATAGAATTCATCTTTTCTATCAATAACTCTTTAAGAGCCCAAATGACCAAGTCACCATCATCACCTACAGTTGTTTACATTTTCTACTTATTTGAATAAAACATTTTATTTTCGTGTAGGATATTCTTGAAAGATCTGCATTAAATTAAATTGATTTAGATTTTTGATATGACTGACTATTTTACCATTTATTTAATGTTACAATTTATTGTTTATTACTGAAACGTAGCTTAGCCTCTGATGAGTTCATCCTTACATAATAAATTATAATAAAAAACAATAGGGTTTTGATGATAGCAGTAACAGTAAAGCCATCAGTATTGTCAATTATTATTTTGTTCCCTTATCCCAGAGTTGTAGTTTATTATCCATAATCGTGGTTACTTCAGTCTTTCTCCTCGCCATCTTGCTCTCTTTAAACATCACGACTCAAAATCCAATTGGCCCTCTCTGAAGGGTCCTCGTGTCTTTTGATGTCGGCTGTGTAAGTGAAGAGCTGGCCTCACAGCAGATCCACTTCTGTCACATGGCATTTCCTGGGCTTTGCTCTTTCAAATTATGGAGAAGGTTAGCAGAGGAGACGAACTAAGTAATCTAGAACAGATGTTTATTATTAGGTAATGAAAAAATTGACCTTCAGGTAAGTCACTACTTGTATCTTGCCCGGTGTTTTATAAAATAAAGAGGGCTGTATGCAATACATCAACCTGGACTCTGTGCTTTCTTTAAAAAACCCTTGTTAGGGAAGTAGATGGGGATGTGTTTGTGTATTTAAATACGCTCCTCTGGGACTTGTATGTGTGCCACTGTACATGCAGTTGCAGATGCTGTGATCAGGGTTGGAGAGCAAAGGACTATTTATCTGACCCCATTCTGTAAAATGTTCAGTGTTATTAATCATGTTGTGAGGATGCGGTACATTTATCGCATCTCCCCCAGGGAGCTCCATACAAGTAGATATTTCCTCTGTGCAATGCCCTGTATAACATTTTTAGGAATTACATACTGGATTTTGATCTTACAAGAATACATTTTGAAGATTACACTAACGGCATACTAGATAATGTTTTGAATTGTGAGTTTGGAAGATATTGAATATGCAAAATGCTGTTAAATAATTGTCTCGGTTGTACAGCTGATAACCTGGCCACTGCGCTAGATTTCCAGCCTCAGGGTCAAGGACTTTTGCCCCTGGGGGCTGCACTGAGGCCCCTCTGGGTGCAGGCAGCTTTTATCGCCTGGCCACATCCATTCTGTGACTGCTTGCCTGATTCGGGCCCTGATGAATTTACAGTTCACTCATGTACGTTCCCAAATCCCGGGTGCCCTGCTGTCTGCCACACACTCACACCTATCCCCTTCCTCTACTCACACTCTTTCACGCGAATGTTCTCCCGATTACTAGATTACCTCATGCACAATCCTAAAATTGTCCCTTTGGGGTACAAACACCTGTATCAAAACTACATCCTGTAGCTAAATGTTATATCCTTTTTTCATACTTCCAAAGGCTCTTTTTTTGCCTTTTTACACTGCATTCCCTAAAGAGCACAGCTGTTGCAGCTAAAAATAGTAATCCTACCACTCATCTCACACGTGTAAATCTGTTAACCAAGCTGGATGGTCTCATCTTTTTAATTGTATATAGCATCTGACTTTCATACAGACACTTTAATGAGGTGTTTTCTCCTCATTGGCTCACCTGTGTAGCGGCAGGTGGTCTTTGCTCTATGACGGCATAATCACACCCACTGTGTTACAGAAAAATCTTTAGCCTGATCACCGGCTTAGCATTTCACATTATGCATCGTGCTCTCTACAGTACACACATGATCTGATCGGCCTCTCCATATCTTACTGCAGTCGTCAGTGTCAGGTGTCCAGTGAGTTGGTCAAATGAAAGTGAAAACCCTCCCTACGTCTTTGGAGTCATCAGACAAGTGCCTTAGAGTTTCACCACATGAAGAAAGCCTTCGCTGTAGCTACACGAGAAGCTCTTATATCAGATTGAGAGGTTGTACATGTAAGGATTGAGTGGACATGGTACTTAAAGATTAATCTTTCTCACTAACCCTTTGACTTTGATTTGACATTAGTCTTAACTGTGCCAAAACGCTTGACATTAGATTAAGCAACTGCTAGTGACAGCCGAATGGCTATGAATCTTAATTACCTTCATTTAAATGAATTAGAAGTTAAAAGGGCAATTGGTATTTCGTTAGTCATATAACAGTAATAACAGGTAGGGCTCATATGTCATTGAGAAGCTAGTAGTCAAATAGTGCTAGTAGTGCTGTTTTTATCAATTTAAATGCACCTCTTAACTTAAAACCCACGATTCGAACCTGCTATTACCCACACATAATGTTTTTTCTAACAAACAAAAACAACTAGACAACTGCTGTGGTCACATGTGTGCAGATATAGACTTTGTATTGAGAGGCATGTTAATGCTTGTGAAAGGGATAGCAGATTCCAATCCTGTTTAGAATACATATGCATCTTTGATTAATAAGGCAGGACAAGGACAGTGACTTCCACCCCAGCCAATCATTTCATGAATAACCTTTAGTGACCTTGTCTGCTGTGTGTGTTCTCATGGAGTTTATAGAGGAGCTACTAAGGGAGACGATAAGCTCGCAGCTGATTACGGTGAATAGAATGAATAATTGGATGTTAAAAAGAATGGAGGGGATTTGGAGGAACAATGAGGTGTAGTGGGAGGGGGGCACTTCATCTCAAGACAAGCAAGCAGGAAACTGAGCTCAACCACTCGCATCCCGGCCCACCTCCCAAGGCCATTGTAAAGGAAGAGCTGCGGCTCAGGTGTCATTGTATTTTCCTATAGCTCACTCGTCTAGTCTCAAGTGACCTTCAGGTATTTTCCTATAGAAAGTAACACCACCGCACCATGCAGAGATATTGTCTAATTGACAGTATCTTCTACAAACTAGCTCCCAGTGTTGAAATGTTATGCAATCATTGTCTTTTGGTGGTTTCACTGCTAGCGAAGAGACATACAAGTAAGACGCAGACCTGGAGGCTGTTAGAGACTCGATTATGTAGGCCATCTCAGGTGGTTGTTGAGAGAAGTGGTAGAGAGAGATGTTCATAAAGGACTGATTCACCCTCAGCTGCCATATGCATAGAGATCAACATCTGTCACTTTTTTGCTGCACCTGAAGCTTTTGCACCCTTCAAACACCTGGTTTCCATTCATTGATCATTCCCACATGGGAGCTTTTTCATCAGTTTTTTTTAATTATTTGCACCCATTCACAAAAGCTGAATCAACCATATCACACCTGAACTCTATGATTTCCAATTTAAAGCAACACCTGTTGGTTAACACTCACTGGATATATTTATTTTTAAAAAGGATAGATGTTACTTAACCAGTATTACAAGAAGATGCATAGTCCATGTTTTTGATATTATAGTGAACCCCTTTTGTCAGTGTGTTTGTATTTGATGTTTTGAGTGTGTGCTAAATATCCCTTTTTGATAATACAAGTGAATCAAAACTGTAATAAGCTCAGATGAAAAACAGGATGAGGTCATTGTTGCATAATATTTTTCTCTTCATCCTCTGTCTCTTTTGTCCTCTCGCATCAGTGATTTCTTTATGCACTGATAGAATAGAGCAGTACCTGAAGCAACACATTGATCCATTACTACCTGCTCATGTCTGCCCTCTGTTATATCATGCTAAATGACATGCTATGATATAACACTCTCAAATAAAAAGTGCTCGAAATGTAACCAGTTCATTTATTCAGAGAGTGTTTGTTGAACTTGAATTGGGAAGATCCAGAAAAGAGTGTTTACTATTGACATTACATTTCCACTATAAATAAGTCTATCAAATCTAAAGACTAATGACAAATTCCTATTCCTATCCTAAAAATGCTTATTTTGTCTGCAACTTCTCAATAAACCAGTTATTTAGTTTCCAATAGAAAGACACATAGGCAAGCAGATGACTCTTTGCATTTTTACTTTAAATATATATACATTTTTGGTTCCTTTTTTTATCAATTTATTTTGTAGTTCAATACAATTAATTGCATTTATAAACTCTCGAGCTCTGATATGGATCAAGACAATTTAGTGTTGTTGGTGACGACATATATTAGATTTGTGTTCGACTCAAACTTTCGATGTTGACATCTTTGTTTTGACTGATGGCTTTTCATTTTTGTTGTGTCTGCTTTCTTGTACATACTCTGGTTCTTGGCTCACCATCTCAAAATCTAAGAATAGGATTTAAAGATGATTAATCCTGCTTTAGACTCTGGATAAATCTGCATAATTTAGAATGATGTAAAGGCGATTAATCCTGCTTATAAATCTGGGCAGATCTGCATATTTTTTAAATAGTGTGTTCATTCATGTATACATTAAAAGCTCCATACTGTAGTGAATATATTTATGTATAAGTAAGTAAGTAACATTATTTACTGTTTTATTTCTGTATTACATCACATTAAATGAACACTATACAGCAAAGACTTTCAGCTTTCATTTGTGATGTTTACATTCAAAATAAATACATAATCCTAGCATTTGTGCATTGTTCATACATTTGCTTTCAATTCTAGGGAATAACATAACTTACATTTGATTGTAAATCCTTTAAAAGCAATGCAATTCATTAATTGTATACGCTGTTTCTGATACAATTAAAAAATATATATATTTATGAATCCATATAATTAGATGTCTAATTTCAAAAGGAATGGAAAAGTGAATGTTTGAGTGTATATAATGCCATCCAGTGCTACTTTAAAAAATGATATCAGGCAATAATGATGTCACCATCAGGCTGCAACTTGTAGTGAAGTTTTCTGTCCTTCTCTTACCTTTTATCTCCACCTGTCCTCCTCAGGCTGCAGGATTATAAGTGCTCTCTTCTCTCCCGGTGTCCCTGTTAACCAAACTGAGGCATTCTTTGCACCTGCCGCCGCAGCTGCTGCTTCTCTGAGCGCTACTCTAACGCTGGAGAAAACCACTCCATCATCTTCAGCACCAGACACAGACCCCCTTTGAATTTCTTCATCCTTGCCTGATCTCTTGTCCCTCTCCTCTTTCCAGGTGGTGTCGCAGGCTGAATCTCACCAGAACCTCGGGCCGAGACACTTCTTCTGGAAACAGGTAGGAAGCGTTAGGCGAGGATTATCCCAGTGAAATGATGACAGGTTTTTGTATCTCCATCTTCTGAGGCAGTTTCTTCAGCTGGTCTTCTGCTCATCCTTCAACATCAAGTCCTGTCCTTCACATTTGCCATAAAACTGTACAATACTCCCTCACTGGTTATTAACTGAACAGCTCTCTATCAATCTTTTGCAATCTGATCTAGTTGGACTGCTCTCTCCCTGTCTCTCTTTCTCCCTCTGACTATTTCTTCGCTCCCTCCCTCCCTCCAGTGGTGTCACAGACGCTGCCATTTGCAGCCTCCCTCCCTCCCTCCCTCTCTTTTTCTCTCTCTCTCTCTCTCTCTCTCTCTCTCTCTCTCTCTCTCTCTCTCTCTCTCTCTCTCTCTCACTGTCTCTATCCCTCCCTCCCACATCATGGCACTACCAGTTGACAGCCACTTGATGCTCAGACGTATCATTCAGAAAACACAAGCAGACAATCCACCATTGTATTTGATCAGATGTTAATCAGAAGTAAATGGAAGCAGCATGATGAACAAGAAAAGGCTTTTACAATGGCTTCCCACATACAATTTAAACCGCTCTTTCAAGCCCTTCTGCTCTACTTTTACTCTAAGGTGAATTCTGTTATCCCAACATTTAACTTCAAAGATTACAGCTCAATAAATGCGTTAGAAAAAAAGCAACATACAGCAACAGGTGAGAATATTTATGATATGAGTGGAGCATATCGCCATGTATCTATTTACCTTGTTATCGTCAGTGCAGTGTGTATGAATATATAATGCTGCTGGGTGCTGTGTCCCGGTGCAGAGTGATGCTTTTCACACTTGTCATCAAAGACTTATCAATAACATTTGACCCGAGGAGGAATATGGTGCTCTCGTGCTTCAGTGTTTGACAATATGGCCGCCTCGCCACACCAGGAGTCCTGCGTCAGAGGAATTGAAGCTGAAGTATGCCAATCACTATTAGTCAGCTCTCTAATTAACCCTTAGATGCACGAGTGACTGGACCCTACACTCTTCCATAAGTGGGTCTAAAAGGACCCGTATTAGAATAATATGTGTTTTTATGCAATTTTTGTCATTTTGGTTAAGAAAAATCTCTTGTATAATATTTAGTATTATATTTTGGTTCACACTAGAAATATTTTATATTTAATTTTTCACTATTTATAATTTTAGAAATTTCTTTTACATTTTGAAAAAAAACGTTTTCCCATAGGATTCCATAGAAAATGCATGCGGGTCAGTTTTGACCCACTTATGGAAGCTTGGGGTACTAATACAAAAACTACAATTTCTTAAAATGTAAATAAAAAATGTGAATGGCATGATATCCAAAACATGTTTTTTGAGGAATAGCTGGAATATGAAATGATACATTTTTTTTATTACAAAGATACTTCAAGAAAACCACCTCACCGGGTCCAAAAAGACCCACTTATGGAAGCTTGGGGTAGTAATACAAAAACTACAATTTCTTAAAATGTATCAAATGTAAATTTAAAATGTGAATGGCATGATATCCAAAACATGTTTTTTGAGGAATAGCTGGAATATGAAATGATAAAAAAATGCAATTACAAAGATACTTCAAGAAAACCACCTCACCGGGTCCAAAAAGACCCACTTATGTATCTAAGGGAAATTCGTAACACTGATCTACATTTGAAATCTTTGGGGAAAGCTTCCAAGGAACACAGCACTATTGTCGTGATGTGTCACTCAGTGTCCCTGCCTGTTGCCTTCTTGTTGTTGTTGGGAGGAAGCTGCCGATTTTTCTTCATCGCCACCACTCTTGAGTACATTACCGTTACCCTTGACAGCTTCCAAGTGTGACATTATCCTCCGAGTGCTTGCTTCCCCCTTTTCTCACGTCTTTTCAGAGAGCCAGAATGCTAAAAGAGATGAAAATGAGTGTGGGGTGAAAGAGTGTGACGTTTCTAATTACAGCCACACTGGCTCGGCCCCAGCTTAATCACTGATAACTCATCAGTGCAGGAACCCTCTCTCTTTTTCTCTCTCTCTCTGCGCTCCTATTCTTTCTCCCTGGCAGCCTCTGATTTCAGACTTCTGACGGTGATTTGCAATAGCCCGTGTGTGATCATCACCAGGCTATTGTGTTTGGCCCGAGGACGTCAACTAATGGAGTTCAAAGCGTCCGTTTTAAAGCGCCTCTCTCTCTGTGTCGGCAACAGGTACTGTACCCGACCCTGCATAATGTAAGGCTTTGACGGCGTGATGCTGCAAGCCCGGGGAACAGTAGATCACAAGGTTCACACATCCAGACTGTAAACCTCGTTATGTAACTGCACCATAATCACAGGTGGCAGCTCACAGACCCTCTGCATGCGTGTGTCTAAATGAGAGGGTTCTGCCTCCCAGGGAGATGGCTAAGTGGAGTTTGCTGCCGCTTCCATGGCTACAGGTATAACATGTTTTCACTATTTTCAGACCAATAAGAACCGGTAGAAATGAAACAAAGACAGATGGACGAGGAGAAGACAAATGGAAGTAAAGATTATATCAATACTAGACATTGTTGACATGACTCATCAGAGACATTTTGAGAAAATAAAGAATGGAGATGATAAGCAGTTTAAGAGATGAAATAGGAATACAAAAAAAAAATCTTAAAATCTAGTTGTATTTTGCTCAAGTGGGTACATTTGTTCTGTCTATTCTGTTCTTATTAGAGCATTTGAAATGCAATACTGTGACCTTTTATTGCCTATGAGGAAAGACTTTTAGAAATATGAACCATTCAATTCAAGGAACAATATGTATTTATTTGCAAAAACGTGACAAATAAATTATACGTTCTTTTTTTAACTGAATGAAAGTGACAAAGAAGACACTTTTGAATAGACATGATGTGACAATGAGAGAAAGAAGTGTCACGCTGAGGTTTTAAATGGCAGCGAGTGAATAAAAGCAGGATTTGAAGATAGTGAAATCTCACAGCTTCTGCCAGACTCTTGCAGCAATGTGTAATTTGCATTAATCAGAAGGGCCCTAAGAATAAACCTTTCACAATCCTTCTGCTGATAGTGATTGTGGCATTTCATCTTTTACAATGACGCTCGCCTCAGGCTGACACTGCACAGGAGCTCTATTGACTTATTGCTGCTGACAGCTCTCTCTCTCTCTCCATCATAATCAACACATATCACATGAAATATGTCCTGTGTTAGTAATGTGTGATACTTGGAGTTAATCATATTTTCCAAAATGTAGGTAAAGATGAATTGGGAGGCTTTTAAAAGTGAGAGATTAGTAGATGGCTTTAAAATGTACAAAACTCCTACTTTATATCACACTCATTCATTACACCTTAATAAAGATGGTAAATGAATTTATATCGAGATATTGAATACAGGAAAGCTACCCTCTGTCATTTTGATTCTTGAAAACGACATCCTGTAGCTGAGTCTCCTCATTTTGACAAGTAATTTAGTCCCTCACTAATGCTTCTTTATATTTTGAGGATGAGCTCTGAACTTTCGGCTACATTACTCTCTGAGAAACCTGTCTGATGGAGCTATTTCAGGCTTTGAGCCATTCCTGTTCATTTCATTTCTTTTGCGACTTCATTTCTTGTCAGCGGGGATTAGGAATGTGATATTACTGTACTCTCACTGGCTGGAAAAGTTGTGAAAAGGCCTTCTTGTTCTTGGGCCCAGCTGGCTGTTTTTTTAGCGTGGCCATGGTGGAGTGAGCAGGGAAATAATAACATCTAACACAAACTTTCCTGAGTCATTTAGTGTTGTAAAATGTTCTTTTTAGTTTTTACATCAAGACTGTAGTGTCGTGTAAAGTGGGTTATGAATAGAAAATCATACTGGTTGTGATTAGCTAGTTTCATTGTTGTGCTAACAAAGAAACATTACGCATTTATCAGAAAGACTTTAAGACTCATTTTGAAAGGTAATCATGTAGAAATAGTGTTTGTTTTAATTTTTTTAAATGCAGGATAAGGGTCTGTAGTTATAGTTTCATTCACTGCTCAGCATGATCATGCACTCAGGACTGATTGGAATATATTTTATAAATACTTTATTGACCCCGAATTGGAACATTGTTTTGTAACAGCAACCTTTGCACAAGTTAAACATATGATCAAATACAAATAAACTGTACAAATACCATATCAACCGTAGAAATACACATATCTAAAGAGTAGCTATAAAATAGACATTATAAATTATACAAAGTCAGTTAAAATGCACTATGATAGACCAAGCTAAAAATATAAAACAACATAGGATACCATATATATTATAAGTGTGCAAAGCAGTGGCAGTTTTTTTATTTCAATGCAATGTGGAAGAATATGAGTACAACATCAAATTGTTTTTGGTTATTTAAAGGGAAAAATAAAGGAGTTTGTGGCTCTAAGATCAGTAAGAAATGCCAAAAAACGAACAAAACGAAATCCCTGCTTATGATTTCCTACATATTACACCAGTACACGGTTACAAAGAAACCCACCATCAACAGCATGTGGACAAAACACACTAACTGCAACGCTAGCTGCCACTCAGAAAAATAATCAAGTTTGTGTGCCAGACCCACAGTTGAATACCATCCAGGTTTTATTCTGTTAAGAGTGATTAGTTGGAGAAAACATCACCATAGTAAGATGTTCCACAACTCAGATCACAGGAGCCACAACTACATGTGAGCACAGAGAACGTTAATGCGTTTATATAATGACTCCTACAGATGCACTTAACATCCCT